TTACCGCAGCCAGTACCACCCTGCAGCACAGTGAGAAGCTTCACAAGTGTCAAGCGGCTCTGTCACGCCTATGGCAGAGTCGAGCAGAAGAAGCTCTGTCTGTCGCAGACGAAGAAGTTCTATCTTTCGCAGACGAGATGCAGCAGACGAGACGCAGTAGACTAGCGACTCTGTCTCTAGCAAGCTGTTGAGCGGCTCTGTCGCAAGAGACGTGGCTCGAGGCAGACGAGACGCAGCGGGAGCGACTCTGTCGCAGAGGAAAAAGCTGTTGAAGGGCTGTCGCAGAAGAGACGGGGGAGTCGACCGCAAGTACTGCCGCCAGACGAAATGCGAATGCAAACGCGAATGGAAGCAGACACTGAAGCCCAAAGATGCTAGGATTCGCCATGCGGCGGAACCCTAGCAGAGCGGAAAGATGCCACCCTAAGCCCCATATTATATTTTTTGATACACACACACACACACACACATACATATATATGTATATGTACATATATAAATAGGAGGTGGTGTGCCGTTATTATGAGGATGCAAGAAGAATTGTTGTCTTTCTTTATTGAAGTGTAGCATGTGGCCTGTAATCATGTAATTAGCCTATAAAAAGTGGAACTGATTTGGAAGGAGGGACTTTGGCTCTCTATTCATTTGCTTATCTTGATTCTCTGCATCCTGAATATATATATATATACATATACATATATATATATATATATGTATATGTATATGTATATATATATATATATGTATATGTATATATTGAAAAGGAATGACCGGAGGCTATTATAAGAGTCCCGGTTCGAGTACCGCACCCTACACTCGGGGGAATAAAACCTCAGACCATAGGGGACTTACAACTGACAAGCAGATGCTCGATAAACTGATCTGAGCACACGACACATATATATTATCATTCATTTTCATGTGCAATTAGCTATGCTATGCGCGAGCCCTAACTCATTGGCGCTGCCTTGGGGTAAGTCCCTTGCGTCAGGGGTTCGAATTCCAGCCATTTCGGGAGGATTCAAATAACACACGGACTGGAAGGGGCTCCGCCTGTCGGTCAGTCCAATCTATAGGGGATGATCGGCGTTCTCCGACCGTCGATCAATCTTTAGATATATATATATATATATATATATATTATCATTCATTTTCATGTGCAATTAGCTATGCTTATCTAATTATGGTTTTTTTATCATACATAGCAGGACAAAAAATGTGCACTTGCGATGAAACAATTCGAATACTTACATGCACATTTGAATACATATAAAATTAAATTCACAAAACTAATCAAAGTTTGTTTTCTAAATTTAAAAATGAATGTCTTGTCCAATTTATGATAAACAATATGACAAATTTCGTGGCTACAGTCATCTTAAAATTTTTTTCTTTTTTTATATAGTCTAATTTTTTCCAACGTATAACTTAATTTTAAGGGAAATTCACAACATATCACTCAACTTTTTTGTATTTACATGTCTTGCACCTAAAGTTCAATATTTATATTTATAATGCTTTGATATTACAAAATTATGCATGAAAATGTGTATTTAACTTTTAAGAAGTCAGCGATTGTGGTATTTTATATGATGTCAAAGATTTCAAAGATATGTATGTAAATTTGATAGTTTGGGTATTAGAGATGTAAATGTTCAAGAATTGTGTGGTTTGTCTGTAAATGCCATTAATTTTAAATCAAATAAACTTCAAAATACATTTTACTTCAAAATTACTTTTTCTCTCACAAGCCTCAATTCATAACCAGCTTGAATTTAAGGCGGCATCTTGGAAAACAAGACAAAAATTTAGTTATTTTTCCTACTTACCTAACTTCTTTCTCCTTCCTTTTTCTCTTCCTCTTCCTCTTTTTCTTTTGCCCTATCTCTGTGGCCTTAGATTTTTTATGGCGACATGGATATACATCAATCTACTTAGATTTACATATATACATTTATATATTAAACCGATTTTATCAAAATATAGGATTTCATAAAATATTTGTAATTCTTTTTGAGGTTGTGGAAAATGGAGTATAAAAATTTAAATAAAGTTTGAATTTTTCCTAGTGAAGTTTTTGAGTATTAAAACAAATGAGCATTTAAGGAGGCTAGGTGGCATGGATGTGGGTGTTGGACATGTTTACTTGATGATGCCATACACGAGGCTACATCGTTGGGCGTTACTCGTTCTATTACTACTGCTCTTAGGTCTGGTGCCAAAATTACTGAACTATTAGTTTATATAACTCTGTCCAAATGTGATGCATGTTAAGAACGATAAATGGATGACACATTCTTTTATTTAAGTGATAAAACTATTTAATCTTTGAGTCATGATTTGATTCACCCGTAAAGGTTTTGGAATTACTATTGGGTTACTGGCTGATCCATTGTACATGATGAGCATGATGAGCATACAA